GCTGGGACGACACTGGTCGGAGCTGGGGTGAGTTGTGTTGCCCTGTAACCCAGCAGGGTGGGGGTGTGAGGCCTGGAAGAGCCCAGCAGGGAGTAAGACAGTGTTGGAGAGCTTAAGAAGGGTTGCTAGGGATCCACAGGGTTTTGAGCATTTGTAGGACCTCTGTGGTGGTGTGTTTGTTGTGGCCAGACCTTTTTCTGAAGTTTGTCATAGTAATTTTCTAAGTCATTCAAAATTTTCTTAGCCAAAGCCGGGTAATGGCCCCGGTATCTCAAACTTTCAAAATTCTATGTAAATTTCCATATGGGCCGCTGGGCCCAGTTCCCAGCACGTGCTGCTCCCCACGAATAGATTGGAGCTTTGTCCTTAAAAAAAAAAAAAAAAAAAAAAACATCCCCTGGCCTTGGTCATGGCAAGTCATATTGGCTGGGCATTGGCCGACGGCAGGAGAAGCCGCGACCTTTGTAGAGAATATGTACAGACTGGGAAGGAGGGCTGGTCCATCTAGTCTGACTCCTTCCATTTCATTCGTACATCTTCTCAACCATATGACACAGTTAAGCAACAAATACAAATTGATATCAATATAAAATGGGAACAGTCTAAAGAAAAAATAAAATTTATATCCTCACCAAAGGAAATCCTGCAGCACATTCAACGATTCAACCAATGCTGGCTAGGAGGAACCCAGGGGGGGGGAATGGGGAAGGTTGAATGGGAAGGGGCAAGGAGAGGAGAAGAGGAAGAGCTGAGAAGGGATTATAAGCTTGTTTTTAATGATTGGACTATGATCGATCCAACTAATAACCCTTTACGTTCACTTCCAGATTTCCCAGACCCTTTTCCTCCCTCAGCACTAAGTCTGGTCCCAAGGGATTGGTTTGGGTATGAATGAAGTCAAAAAAGGAGGAAAAGAGGATATTCATGATATCCACATTTTATGTTAATTAGGTGGATAGATAAGATGGGAAGAGTGCTAGAATGAAGCAGTTAGATATGGCGCCCTAATGGGGTGAAGAGGCACTTCTCATCCAACTCTATAGTTCAAGCATAATGTTCTTTCATATCATTTTTTGTACTCATGTATTCAAGGGACGCTGGACCCGGTTTCCAGCAGGTGTTGCTCCCCACCAATAGATGGAGCTATCTGGTTTAAAAAAAGGGAAAAAAAAAAAAAAAAAAAAAAGACTGGGAAGGAGGGCGGTGATATGGGCACTCCGGTGGCAGAGGTGTACCCTGGCCATGGAGAAGGTGAGAGTAGAGGGGTCAGAGATCACAGAACAGATTCAGCAGCAGGTGCATCTTGAACTCACACAAAGATGGTCAGATATAAAATCACAATTATTAGACCTTTTTAGACAAGTTGGTGATGTTAGGAGAGTGATTACAACATTTTGCACAGACTGGGTAGGAGGGGAGAGAGAAGGGTGGATTGCAAGGAGATGGACAGCAGGATTTGGAGCAAATGAGAGACTATCGCCTAGTTTTCAATGACTGGACAAACATAGAACCCTCATTCCCACTACGCCCTCCCTCCGATTTCCCAGACCCCTTTCCACCTCATGCCCTTTCCCTGGCGGAGATTCTGTCCTGAGATGCCTAATCATTTACCTCCGTATCATCCACATCAACATGCACCCACATATGGAGTTCCTCCCTGGAGTCCCCCCGGGAGGACTCCGCTAGTGTACATAACTACCTTCCGTACTATGATCCTTATCTGCTGCTCAGTTAACCCCCCAGGTTCCTGGGGTAGTCAACGCTGACAGTAAGCATAGGTTAGCATTCTGACTCGGAGAATTCTGAGCCTTTCGTATATTATGGGACGCTGGACCCGGTTTCCAGCAGGTGCTGCTCCCTACCAATAGAACGGAGCCTCCCTTTGTTGAAAAAAAAAAGAAAAAAAGACCCCCTTTTTTCGAGTTGTTATCCTACTACATCATCACGCCTGAGGGTGGGTAACTCTGCGGCCACCTTTTCCGGCTACCCATCTTCAGCAGTACTAACATACCCTGTCCGTTGCGCACAGCCTTCCCTGACAGGAGCTTTCACACGGATCCTTCTGCCTATTATGGCGTTACACAATCCTGTGATATCCACTGCGGAACCCAAGCTTAGGGATCTTTGTCCTTATTCATCCTAGATTGACACTTTGCTAGCTGCTCATTATTTCAAGCCTTTTTCAGACCCACACTATTCACAAGAATCTTTGTCTTTACCCATTTGGGATAGACCCATTACCTGGTGTTTGTTGCACCCATCCCACTTTAGATCCGCCCACTGAATCCCGTACTCTCTCTTATCCTAACAAAGTCCTTCCCACCCCGTCCCCTTTTTTACCAAGTGGACAGTCTCCTCTCCCTTCTCAGCCACAAGGGGGCATGCTTTCTGATATAACTCCGCAGGCTCCCATTGAACGGCTGAGCCGGGTAATCCTGCATCCGCAACCGCCGTTTCAGTGTGCACAGTGGTGACCTGGCTAGCTCATATGTGGACGTCATTTTTCTGATGCTGTGCAGGGTGGTAGTGATCACTGCTTTCACGCATGGGTGCCCTGCAGGGCATGACCCTTGGGCAGGGTTTGGGGAAGCCCTAGCCCAGGAAAAAATAAATAAAAATCTGGAGGAAAACATTTTTTTTTTTTTTCCAGGGTGTTGTGTAGACTTGCAATGCAAACCACTTTTGGCTGAGGGTCACATCATCATTTCTCACGGAGAGGCTGGACCTGGCTGGTGAGTGTGACCAGGCATCCTGCACTCCCTGCAGGAGGATGGTCCCATTAGCAAAGGGGATTGGATTAAGATACTGAATCTGGACGTGTTCTAGGTAGAGATGCAGAAAAGGAGTTCAATCTCGATTTTTGCACTTGTCCACAAACGCCAGATTAGATTTTTTTTTTTTTGGAAAGTTGAAACATTGCATTCAAGAGTAATAACCATGGGAGGCCGGGGACCTCACAATTCAACCCGGAGTAACCCATTGCTGAAAACCGGGTTCAGCATCCCTGACTTTCAGTAGGCGAAAAGGCAACTCTCCAAATGTACCATGAAGCTAGTAAAAAAAGGTTACAGTGTCCAGTTGATGTAGCTCAGTGGTTAGAGCACCGGTTGGAAATGCGCATTGTGGTATGAGGTTGTGGGTTCAAAACTCTACAGCCTCGCGCATGGCCACCGGCAGGGCGTTAGATTGACGCACGGCTGGACACACACCCCTGGGCTGACGCATGGTACTATTACAGACACTGCCTGCGCACCACCCAGGGGTTAAGTCCACGGGTGTTGTATGCTGTTCTGGCCTTCACGTTGGTTGCTGGTTGTTGTTGGCTTTGGTCCCTCTGATGATCTCCCCCAGTCCAGACATTGCACACATTATATCCACTTCCTACGGTAATATAGGTGGTAGAACCCTCCAGTTTCATGCTGTAGGTCACAGGTTCGAGTCCGGTTCCGGACTTTGGGGGGGTCCTGTCCAGATAGACCTGTCTCTACCACATACACACACACACACACGAGATAGTACCCCAGATGGCACAATCCATACACATACATATATATACACACATACTCAAGGTACACAATCACATATACACGTACTAGTGGAGGTGGTAGGAGCACCTCTCACCAGTACTCAGTACTTACTTCGCAGATGCTCCATGGTGGGGAGCAGCATATAACCATACAGTACATACACACTGACATAAGGACTGGGTGAAGGTCACATGATCAGCTGGTACTAATGATAGGCGTCTCGATGACCAAGTACCCCGCATTAAATATACAGCTAGGGTCTGTGGTGGGAGAGTGGAGGGCGTGAGTCATTGGTTGGTCTGT